GTCCATCTTCAGGAGATTTAAAAGGCCTTTCTCTCATCATGGAATTGCCAGCATATTAATCTATAGGATAACAGACTGTTAGGACGTCAACAGACGACCATCTCTTTAAAGGCAAATGTACCAGGTTTTATTACAAAGTCATGTTTGCTCGATTCTACGGAGCCCTTCTTCAAGAAATTTTAAGCCTAACAGCTTTTTCCATAGCAAAATTCTCAGCATATAGCGGTCAGTAGGCGAGCATTGCTTTGATATTCCAATTTTATAAACACTGTTCGACTACCTACTGTACTTTCATTTCTATACAAGTACTGTCGTTTTAAAATTTTGAACTCATCATAGCTAACATTGAATTTAAAAAAGCTACAACTTTTCGAAACTCAATAATTTTCGCAGTTTTTGTTCGTTTTTTTTCCGATTTAATACATAAAAGCTTTTGTAACTAATTCTCGCGTAACGCAACCCTCCACATTTCGTCTCTTATGCAAAAAAAAGAAAACCGAATAAATTTATGTGAATTTTTTTAAACTATTTACGTCGTTCGAAAATAATAGAATAAGCCCTTCAAGCGCTATATTTTTTTTAAACCCAATTTTACATTACGAAGAAAAGAACAGAAGGGTAAGAAACGCAAAGCAACGAAAGTAAGATGGCTTTCTACACCTCACGAGTGGATGACGATGGTAATGAGCTGGAAAGGCGACCACCGGCACGCAACTTGACGTCGTCAATCACTGACAGCACTGCTAGATCAAACCTCAGTTCACGCAGCTGCGAAATCAAAGGCAACGTGCGGTATGCTTATTGTTCGCAATATATGACGATTACAAAACCTACAAAGCACACGCATTTTTTTTTTCTATTAGATATGTTAATGCGGCCGCCTACATTGAGAAGAGTGGCGAGACGGAAAGAACGCTTGGTGCTGGTCAGAAAAGCATTCGTAGTAAGGGCCCAGCGAGTTCGGAAACTGAAAGTGATATCGTGCCACCTTTGGACTTGCAGTCGGAAAACAATTGTCCTGCTGCACGGGATTACAAGTTTTCCTACCGCAACCATTGCGAACCGGCCGAGATAGTTTTTAAACCGGACAGTGCGTACGAGACTTGGCTATCTGCCAAAAGGTGAGCTGTAAACGATGCTACAATGTATTTCGAGCAAGTTTTTTATATATATATATAATTTAGAAAGCTTCTAACTGATACGACTTCCAAGAAGAAAAAAGCCGAACAACAAAAAAGACAGGAAATAGAAGAACGTAAGCATTTAGCTCGTCAACCAAGAACCCAACCATCACAACATTTATCGATGCAACAAATCATTTCGAAACAAACGATCAAATCGTCCTCAACCCATTCCGATTTGTCGGAGAAGCCAACATGTTCCCAATTGAGAGAAGCAGAATTTAAAGCCCGTATAGTAGAATGGGAGAAAGGCATACGTGCGCAGGAAGACAGTCGTCGAGCAATCAAACGCCAAGAAGAAGAGAAGCGCCGGGAAATTGAAGAACAGCGAAGACATATGGCTGCTGGTGCATGGGAGAAATGGTTATCGGAGGCAGCGGAGAAGCCCAAGCCCGTGCCCTTAAATCGTGGTATTTTTACGTTACGTGAATTTACATAAATCCCACTGAATGACAGCCTATTACTTCTCATCACAGAAGAAAATTGACTTATGTGCTTTCATACATTGTTTATAGTAGCGTTTTTAACGCTTTTCCGTTGTTCATTGAATAGAAAAACATATGGACCCCCTTTTTTTTGGCCGTTTCAAAAGCAATTTTCTCTTTTAAATAGCATGCATCGTAGATGAAAAGGTTAGTTTCGTAGATTTATCTCTAAAATTAAGCTAGTTTGGTTCGTTACAATAATTGGGATTATTAATTACAATTGCAAACTTGGAAGTTTATCTAGAAAACGGATGAACTTGCATAGCTGACTTAATGTTCGTCTTGATGGCGGACGGTGCTTTTCCTAATTGGTTTACGCCGCCCGGACTAACTGAGCTCATAGGACTGGGAGCACGTATACCTGGCGGTACCATCATACTTCCTGGAACGCCTCCAGGCACTGACATCGGAATTCCCACTTTTAGGCCTTTGCCATTACCTACCGCTGCTGCCAAAGCATGCGTATCGGCCATGCTGCTAGTCTGTTGTATACCCGGTCTTGATGAAGCTTCAATTTCCCATTCTTCACGCGCTTTGCTAACCATTTCCAATACGTGGGACACCACCTTGTTGTACTGCGTGACCTGTTTCACAGCAGTTTCTGTTGATAAATTTGCGGCTTTCTGTTCATTTTGTATCATTTTTTGCTCAGCCATAGGATCGGGTTTCGTCCGTAAGTAATCGGGTACTATATCATGCGAAAAGACGGGAACACGACCTTGCGTTAAATTCACCAATAATTCATCGCGCTCAGGCGAGACCATCAGTGGCAAAACCGTACGGTTGCGTAACAGTGGACACATTTCTTTAGATAGTATTTTTGAAAGACCGGTTAACTGAAAGAGAAAATTTAATTTTCAATTTAATCTTAAGCATTCCTTCCACTTACGTGACTAGAAATTAAAGCAAAATTGTCTAAAAATGTTGGCCAATTAATCGTTTCGTACTCAGTTTCGAGTTTGTGAACCATGGCGCCTATGGATATTTTCAAGTCATTCAGCCGGTTCATCACTGCCTCCAAAGTCATCTCCAATTGCTTCTCTTCGCGTTGCATTTTAAGATTTTGGTTATAAAATCTAAGATCCCTTAACGCTTTATAAATTTCTTTTAAACTTTTTTGATTCGTAGACGTTTGGAGAAAAATGACGCTTTATATTGCGTTTAGAATATTTTAACAAAAGGCAACGTAGTTTGTTTACAATGTGAATTAAATGGAAAAAGAGTAACCAAGTCTCATCATAATTAATAAATATAGGATCATATTTAAAAATACCCAACAGGTAGGATTGATATTGCCAGACTATTAACACAAACTATAAGAAAATTACCTACTTTTATACTTTTGAAGGCTACATATTTCAGAATACCACCCATAATGGGAGCGTTATTCTATTTTCTGGTTGTGACTCTAACTTTGCCGACTTTTTACAAAACTTTATGAGAATTGACAAATCATAAGATTTTTGCATGCAAATAAAACAAAAAGAAACAAAAGCTAACCAGGAAATGATGACAGTTCCTTTGAAAATTTTAAAGTTATTTGTCTAATCTATGTTTTTCTAACAATAATGTATGTTATGTTTTAGATAATGTGATTTGAAGTATTGATTTTTACCGCGCACTATTTTTTCAGAAATGAAAATTAAGTGACCAATTATTTTAAAGTTAAAAGCATTCGGAGAGGGCATAGAAATAAATAATAAGTTGAAAATTATGGATTACTTAATACACAAAGAAGCTCTCGATGGTTTCATGAAGTTTAAGCGTGACACCACCGAGAGCCTTTTTGTAAGTAAGTGCGCAAGCAGGCGATTGTCGCTGTGATTACCGCCTTGTTTTCTTTTGAGAGACAATTGATTATCGCGAAGAGAAAAATCACGTACCACGGTCGCCCACTTCCAATGCTGCCCCCCACTCTTACATTTGCATGCATTAATAACTGAGAGAGACATCAAATATGAGGGTCAAATTGACATTTGTTTGTTTTATATAGATAAACTACATATGGTATATAATAACAAGCATGCAAAATGTAACGAAGAGAAAATTATGTAGAATTTATGTTGGCCTATTAAATGATAAATGAATTTAAATGTTGAGATGATCCCAATCGTTACAGAAGACATTTGCATCTAATCGCCAGTATATAAGAAGTTTTCTTCAATCAAAACAGAACGTAATACTTTTAATATTTATTTAATTTTTATGTAAATTTTTACGCAAGGTGTAACTTTAAAAATTATTCGTTTTTTAACATTCTTGTACAATTTACAAAATTTTGTATGGGTAATTCTCTAACTCCCACACACTATAGCAACCTCGTGCAGCTAATAATTCTGAAGACATTACTAAGCGCAACACTGGCGGCAGACATAAGTTATCTTTTTAATATGGCAATTTGGTTCTTCGCAGCCTTTCTCTTTATTGATGTTAATTTTTTTGTCTTTGGCCTAGTGCTATTGTTTAAAAAATTTGCAATCTCTTCATTTAACGATATATCGGACTACAGCCGATGAAGCGTAACATTTGACATTTCGTAGTCTTCTTCTTCTTCTGTTATTCAGCAAATCAACAACCGAAAATTCTCTAAGCTGTGCAAAAAAGGCCCAATATGAACATAATTCTTTGTTTAAGTCTTTGTAAAATTAGGGTCAATTTGATTATGTAATTGCTATTGTTTATTTATTTTATTAATTGCTTTGTATTTCATAATTAAAACTATATTAATATCTTTATCTAGTTTTGCGTGTTATACGTATGCGACGTTACTTTTTTAAATTTCGTTAAAACATGCATAACACTCGTCCGCCATATTTTAAATATAAAATAGTTGCAAAGATTACATATGAGTCAGTTGGAGCCGTTTCTAAGCAGCATTTTCTAATGTATTCCGGTAGAGGGCGAACATAAAGAGGAGTACCAGCGGCTGCAAACACAATCATGCTTCGTTTATATTCCCACAAACAAAAGCCGTAGCTAGTTGACACCATACACGTCGCGCTTGCCTGTCACACCATATGATTTAAATCATTTTTATCTTTGCCAGGTTTCAATTAATTTGCATGTTTTATTTTATTTTCTTTACTTTTGGTGCGAAATGTTCTGTTCTTCTTCTTTAAATGTTTACAAGCGCAGAATAAATTTCGGAGTGTGAGCAGTTATCAACTACAAGTGTATGGAAGAATCTTATGAAAGTGCTGAAAAGCTGTGGAAGTAAAAGAGTATGTGCCTGTGAAAATTTGTATGTTTGTTGACAAGCTTTAAAAAAAAGAAGATGGCGTTGTAAGCAGATAAATTGCGTGAATGCAAAGTGTCAAAATTTGTAATTACTGCATTCGTTAGTGAAGCAAAGAGGCTTAGCATAGACACACTCCTTTTTGTTTAAAAGAGTACAGGTACCAATGCCGACCGACTTACGTAAATATTGGTAAATGTTGCTTGTCCGCTGCTTGCAAATGCCTCAATCGTTACATTTGCTATTGCAGTGATAGTTTTATTCGTCACAACTTGACAATGCTAAATTCTCTAAGAAAACCAGGCAGAACCAGTGCATAATAAATTGTTTCGATAAAAAAGAATGGCAAGGTTGTTGACACTGCACTATTTTGTAAATATGAGTACGATTTCTCTTGTATATTTTTTATTATAAGAATCGGAGGCAGTTCGACATTTCTTTCGCCATTTAAATTAGAAGATTATTACGAACTTTTTGAGTTCCTGTCATGAATAACAGTAACAACGCTGTTAATTAGCAGGCATTAGACAGCGTGTTCTTTTATTCCCATACGGGCATAAAATTCTGTTAATAGTTTTTTGATATGAAGTCGCACTATTTCAAGCGTTTGCACAGCTGCAGCATGTACAATTCCCTGTGAATATACGCTATGGTATATGTACGTACGTAAGTAGGGTAAAACCCTGACAGTATATATGTATGCAGCAAATGCAATTTGTTTTATTTATTAAAGAATTCTGCACACATTTTAAGTTCGTCTCGACAAATGTCAATAGAAATTTTCTCATTAAAAAATATGACGAAATTTTTTATTATTAAAAAGAGTTATTCATTTTATTTATTAATTTTACTGCCTTACATACATGCATTTGACATATTTTATTGAATTGTTCATATCGCACATGAGCGTTTGCTATGTGCCGTCTATTCATATTATACTATTACTAGCAGACAAAGGCTAATTAATAGCATTATTACTGTTATTCATAACAGATACTCAAATAGTTCGTAATAATCTCCTAAATGCAATTTTGAAAATGTGTCCCAATGTCTCTAATAAGAATATATTAGCTTTTCCTTTGCTATTAGCAGTTCAACACAACTTTGTTCCGAATTTTAAACTTGATCTCTCTTCCTCCTCTGAAGTGGTAGCAAAGCTATAGCTTGTAAGTGTATCGAAATAAAATGATTGAAATTTCGTTAATCAATCAGTTATTAATGAAATTTCAAAGTGTTAAGATAACTTTAGTACGGTATGCGCCAGCAGACTTTAAAAGGATTAAAATAAAAATTATTAATTGGTTTCGTTCTATGGCCAGCCTACAAATTGCTTAATTAACAAATATATAAATAAATAATCAAAAAAAAAAAAAAAAAAAAAAATCAAAAATATGTCATTGCTTACCGATTACATATTGACTGTTTGTGCGCTGCTATGTCTGTTCATCTTTTACGCGCAACGTAAATGCTGGCTGTTTGTATGGCAATTGAAGGGCTGGCGTGGCGTTATTGAGCAACCTATACTATGGCTATTACTTGTTATTAATTTGGAACCAAATGGTTAAGTTTTGTGTTTTTGCTTCTTCTTAAAATATGTTTTTTCTTCTTTCTTGGAATTTAATTAAAAATTCTTTACGTTGTGCTGGAGCGCATTAGGTATCTTTCCCGTTCGGTGTGCTTAGTTGACCTAAAGCTAACAATTAACACGCAATTAACTTGTTGTTCAAACAGCGGTACTGCGTGAAAGATGTTGAAATTTATTTTCAAATTCATTTTCCCTTCTAATTTACCATACCCACAAACACACATACCCACACTCTCTCTCTCTCTCTCTCTCTCTCTACAGTGCTCTATATTGCAGTCGCTTTTATACCTTCCATTATTTACGGTACAGGGGTGTATTAGCTTTGTGTGTATACGCAGCCTCCAGAAACATTGAAGATTGGAGATTGACTTACCTATACTAGGATTGTCTGTCCATTTGTCCGTCTTTTTTTTTTTCTCTCATGCTCAATATATAGAGCGTAATTTTGGGCGACATTTTGATGAAATTCGATACGCTGGCCTGTTTTCCAAAGCCCAAGGACAAGCGCTATTGTAAATGACTCGGATTGAACCATTTTTTCGACCGCTATCAGCAAAACCTCGTATCTTAAAAAATTTGTTTTATGAACACCACCACCTGCAGGGTTGTGTAGGGCATTCAACGGTAGGCCGTGGCCTATTATTATTAGTTTTTTTTAATTTTCATTTTTTTTTTGTTTTTTCACTGCTTAGATATAATGGTGGCTGTTAAACGTTGCCGTAAATATTTCAAGAGCCCTGTAGCTGTTATTGTCGGAACACGAATTCTGTTGTATGTAGATGATCCGGGTACCATGGAGGCTGTCCTAACTGCACCAGAGTGCTTAAATAAAACCTTTCTGCAAAACGGTTTCTTTGCTAATAAAGGCTTATTGCACGCGAAAGGTTACAACTTTTATATATATATATATATAAATATATTTTTTATTTTTTCGTCTTTGTTACTAAATAGATGAAAAATGGAAGATACGCCGTAAACAACTTAATCCAACGTTCAATTATCAAATACTTTTAAGTTTTTTTAATACCTTCAATGCGGTTGGCCAAGAAATGCAACAACAGTTAAGTGAAATGCTATTACAAACTAAAACGCGTAGAATAAGTTTTGAGGCGTTGGAGGATTTAATTAGTCGAGCTGTCTTGGAAGTGTCATGTTGTAAGTAAACTGAGAACAGGGTAAGTAGGAAAATTGTGCTCATCATAGAGCGAATCTTGTGTAGCCACCGTCCCAGTCAGCCCGCAAAAGTTTTCATATTATCGATAATGAGCCCATAAGGCGATCGAAATTGTTGGACCGCCCTGACAAATGTTTCGTAACAAATTGTATCGACATTTACTGTTATTTCTCTCTTAAATGATTTATAAATTTAAGGTTTTTTGCTAGATCTGCAGGTGTTGTAAATGTGAGGGAATCAATAGATTGACTAGCAAAGAGATCTGTTACGCGGTACATATAATTTAAAAAAAAACAAGAAGAAAAAAAAAACGAATTAACAAAGCGAGATTATTCACAAAATTAGTCTTCGAAAACGCGAAGCGCTTTGCGTGGCGACGTCAAGAGAATTTACGAAATCTACAGAGAGTGACCGGGTTGTGCTTAGATCCTGAGAGTTTTCGCTTAGATCGTTGTCGGGCAGTCATAGTTACCCATAAGTTAAATAAGTCTCAAGTTGGCTGGTACATCTTCCATATCCACGATTTTGACTTGCTTTTGAATCGCTTTTGTGCCCGCTGTACGGAAATGTGGTAATCATGTTTGTCAAACATCAGCACATTCAAGTTGAAATGTCGTACGCGGGTTTTCCATCTAAATTGCACGACTTATCGGAAGAAAAGCGTAAAAAAGGTTAAGTTTTCGTTCGGCCCTATCTTTTCAATCGGGTTAAAACCACAATTCTCGGAGAGGTTTTTTTTTGAATTTGAATGAAGTCAAAAACGAACTTAAATTAGCTATGTGGGGTTCTTGCGGAATAGTTCGAGTTGAATTATTTGTGAAAAAGTCCCGAAAAATCAATGCAGTCTGAAAGCGTAGATTATCGTGAGACGGATTTGAGGTCCAAATGATTTCTAAATCTTGGTCTTGATTTCAATGAACTCTCTAATTGTCAATTGACAATTGTTGAGCATTAAATGCTTGACTTTCTTGGCGTAAAATCACGGACAGACATCGTAGGAAGGCGGGACACGACATTTCCACTATGAATTCTTTCAGCATTTTCCGCATAATTCAAATTTTTGAAGCAAAACCTGGAAATTCCGCTTCGTTGTTAAGCTTTTTTCAACATATCCATCTATACATTAGGACTTGCACTACATTACAAATGTAAGCGATAATATATAATAATGTGATGAAAGCAGGATGTTGGTGATGCGGATAATTCTGGTATGCTGGGTTGAGCGTGGATTCACACTATGCCGAATTTGATGAACATGTGCCACGTGTGAACACGTGCGCATTGGTATAATCATTCAGTTCTATCCTATCCTTGCCTCCTTGTCTTGTTATCCAGCTGAGGACAAGCGAAAATTGCAGCTCACCTAGTGAAGCAATTTCATCACAGCGTAAACTTTCAGTTTTCTTTTATTCACTATTCGTTCTATTATTCTCAGGCCTCTACTCAATCTTGTCTCTATGTTATTCTTTAGGTCTATTTACATAGGCTACTTGCTATAAAAGGTTACATACTAGGTTACGTATCTAAAATGCCGCGTATTATGCGGTACTAGGAAATCATGTCTTTTGCTTCAAACCATGTAAACTAAATATGGATAAAGTGGATAAGCGATAATAGCTTTTCTGTCTCATATAAATTGGATATGGAAACCTAAAAGAAAAGTACGCTTACATATCCTCTTAAACTCAACTTGAAATTTAGAGGAAAAAGAGAAATAAAGAAATAAATGACATTTCGCGTGCTCGCCTATAATCCGGTTCTCTTTTTGTTTTTTATTTCTCTAATTTTGCTTCCAGTAACTACTATGGATACGACTACACATTTCACACGTAGCGATACTAAAGGTATAACAAGAACCTATAGAACGTAAGTAGGAAACGCTTTGGCAAAAAAGCAAAATACATTTTCTTACCGACTGAAATATGTTTTGCATGAATTTATGTATGTGTGTGTGTGTATGTTTCGATAATCACATTAAATTGTACTGCGAACGAACATCAAGAGCAGTCTCATGGAAATTAGCGCCTTGAGGACAATTAAGCCCTGGCTACAAATTGATATCATATTCCGGTGGTTGAATGAGAAAATCTATGAAAAATCCAGGCGTTGCAACAAGTTGGTGGAACAATTCGTTACAGATGTACGTATCTCTGCATGCTTTCGTTGCCATGGTGGTTGCCTCAGGTTGCCTCAGGTTGCACGATATCACATATCAAATATTTACATAGAATTCTTATTATTATTATTTTTTTGCATAAATATTGATTTCCCTTTGATTTCATTTCAATTCCCTTAACAAATGCGCGATTTAGATGGTGCAGCGTAAACTTGATGAATGGTACGCCAAGAGCGAGACGTCGTCTACGAGAGAAGCCAAAATAAATATTGTAAAGGTGTTGAAGAAGAAGGATAGCATCGATGGCATTGATCAGGAGGCTAACGCTTTAACAGACGGCATGAATTCTTCTTCTGCTCCTTTAGCCGATGTTGATGCGGCGGAGCATAAGCGTATTTTCATCGATCAACTTTTTCATTTAGCTAAAATGGGTGAATTGACGTTGGACGAAATCATCAATGAAACACAATCCATGGTGATGGTGGTAAGAAAGAAATTTGTATTCTTTCGGCAGCGAATTTCGCTATACGGCTATTATTATAGATAGGAGTGTTACGTTTTTCATTCACGCAATTTCATTAGAAAATCTCTTTGCTGCTTTAGCTGCAATAGCCAACCAGGGCCAGACTTCACCATCGTATTGTAAATGACTTTAAAGTGATTCTCGTTGATGAAGAGATTCACGGTTGCCTTTTATGGTATTAAAAATAGTCGACATGTTTATGACTTATAGCATATTGATCTCAATGTAATAATTGATGTCAATTAAGACATTTAAAAATTTCCATTGATAAATTTAGCTATAACTATGTATAATTGCCGTACTATAAATTTAGCGAAAAGAGAGCAATAACTTGTCATGTTTTCTATCAATATATTGCAGTCATTTGAAACGATATCGACTTCTATAATGAATGTTTTGTTATGTTTGGCCATTAATCGTGAATATCAAAATGAATTACGTAACGAAATCCGACAAGTGTTATCAAAGGTATCATCACAACAGTGGCAACAACAACAACAACAACAACGAACAAAACACATAAATCCTGCTGACGTTGATAATGCTGATGATTTTCATTTGTCTATAGTGATGGAAAATTTACAACAAATGCCCTACCTTGACATGATTATAAATGAATCGTTACGGTTGCTGACAACCGTACCAATGAATATACGTAATGTTAGCAAAGATATTCAATTGCATATTATAGAGCAAAAACAACAGCAACGAAAACCTGATATTGACAAATTGCATGATGGTCAAGATGTAATAAAAAGCAAACGAATCGTTTGGATACCCAAAAATACTTTAATTGCAATGGATACTTTTAGCATGCAACGTGACCAAAGCCATTGGGGTCCGTACGCTCAACAATTTCACCCAAAACATTTTTCAAAAGACTATCAACATGCTCGACATGCATTCGCCTTTATACCGTTTTCAAAGGGTTTGCGTACTTGTATTGGTAAGCAATAAAAATAGTTAAGAAATTTACGCTCACATTAAGGCAGTGCTTTCCAACCGATGCGTCATTGCGCGCCACTAAAAGGAAAAATTCTTTTCTCCACGTCTCACAATTTGAAAATCCCTGTCTCTAAGATGAATGCCCAATATTTATTAGCCTAAGCAATCGGTACATTTGATAGCTTAATAGCGTATTGGCACTGAGGACAGTGATTTCGGTGAAAAAAAAAGTGATGATTGCATCCAATTACTGACATGGTTGAAAGGTATGTTATATGAAAGTGAATGTTATATGTTCACTGTTCATTTCATTATTCATAGGAAAATATTTTTATCAGTGCCAGTTAGTAGTTAACTGAAAGAAGCCTTAAACCTTAAAGTTAATCTTTTCTGATCCTATGTCAACTATGTGTCGACATCGTATTCCGTACTCCGTGCTATATAGAGCTCGACTCGACATTATATTATTGTAACCTACATCGCTTGCAGTTCACGAATATATAAAGGGGAAGGGGGGAACTTAACTTTTCCTGCTTAATTTGTAAGAGAGTACCCTTGAACTGAAATAATGGGGTAATAATCAATGGATATCCAAACGTCAAATAATCACAATGCAGCTTAGGCGGACCATAAACATAGACTATAAAGCCGAATATAGATAGCAGTCCTATTAAGGGCAGTCAGCCGGTTGCGAACGCTTCACAACAACGATTGCGAACATTCGTCAATTGTCTTCTCGATATTGAGTTTTCTTATTCTGCCTAAACGGCGGGAAAAATAGTGGCCAGCCATCGAATATGCAGTAAATCAATAATTTTTTGCATTTCTCTTGAAATCTTCATTTTTTCATTGATCAAAGACAAAAAAAAAAAGATGGCGAAAAATTAACTGCGCATCTAATAAGGCAGCAGTGCTATTTGGTTGCTCACAAAAATTGAAGGGAGAAAGTAGCAAACACTACTCATGGTAGACAATGCAAAAGCTTGTATGAAAATATTGCACAGGAAACGTCCATTGTAGAGGCAACCACACGCATAAATTGTTTGTTCCTTGAATGATGAAAAAATGTCTTTTCCATTTCTATACCCTACACCACTTGTGATTGCCCGAATAGGAGGCATCACCTAATAATTGATCAAAAAAAAAAAAGAAGAAAATGATTTGACTGAATTACTGAAATACCTTCAGTGTGTAAACACACTTTTAAACATACTACGATTTTAAAGCGAGCTTTCAATTTATCGGAAATCGTTCTCAAAGGTTGAACGCTCTCTTTTTTCTTTTTAAGATAGTCAATCACTCTGGTAAAGAGAAAGAGAGGGAGATGGTGGCCGCAGTCAAGTAGCTTTGTGCCTAAGCGTTAAGTGCTATGCCTTTAAAAAGATATTCTACCGCACTTGAGATTTGAACTCATGAGCATTAACTTGGTACTCGCTACTCCTAACTTCTGAGCCCTTTTTTAACGTGTATGTAGTTGATATAGTAGGCCAAAGGGTCAATGCTGTTTAGCTTAAGAATTATATGTGTGTAAAAGTTGTATAAACTTTTCTTACTACTGAACATGTTAATACGATCTATGCAAGATTTCTATGTAGATTTGGTAAACACTTGTCCCCGCTTTGAGATGAACACATGCCCGATCGTAATTGTAAATAACTTGAAATTTTTCATTGTTTTGACGCGTTCGCCGTCGTTTTCAAAAGCGAATTCGATCCCTCGATTCTCTCGGATGTGATCTGCAAAGGTCTTAGGCTGATTATCGGCTATTTTTGCATATAATGAATAAAAAATAGCCGATTACGATCTTCCCGAGCAAGCGCCGAAATATAACTGTGTGCATAGCAGTAGAGGTGGAAACAACATTAACCCGATAAAATTTCACTTTATAATTGTGTATTAATATGTGTCATGCCATTCATTTTTATTCTCATTTTGTTTTTATTCTATTTGAACTCAAGGTTCCCGTTACAGTATTTATGTGCTTAAGATCTTTTTGATAAAATTAATTTCTCGCTTCGATTTCGATACCAGCGCTTGTTTGGACAATTTAGAATTCGTGGAAGGAATCTCCTTAAAACTACGTCAAGCAAAGCATATCGAATTTCACATACAACCTTGTCCGCAACAGTAATGAGTTATACTAAATTTTGTATGATTTTTAACGCAGCAAATTCTCTGCAAGGAACATGAATATGGCGTGCAATTAGAGGCCGATGCGCAAACAACCATTACATCGCCTAAAACGTAACTATTTATCAGGGAACAATACTAAATAATTATATCATCATCATCATTTTTTTAATATGTAAAGATCGATATTAAAAAATACTCTGCGACGAAAAATCGCGACGTATCACAGTGCTTGATAAGAACATTGTAGGAATTTTGTAGCGATGAAATTAAAATGTTGTCGGACATCTTGGAAAGGATCATCGAATCTAATCATGATTATGTGGTTGTTTAAAGGGGTTTTTTCCCTAAGTAATAAATGTGTTCTTTAGTCCGACATTAAAAAGCTTGATACTTTTTAGACGTTATTATTATTATTATCATTATTTATATGTGTGTAGTATTTAATATTGTGAAATTAACATGTTATTCGCATCTGTTCACTTTGTGTAAATAATTAATAAATTCCTTTGGCACAAAGAAACCTCTTAATGTTAGGTGAAATTGCTTAGATAGCATAACGCAGAGAAACACTAAAGAAAGAGATTCTTGGTAAAAGAGTTTTGTTTTTTTTTTTTGAAGTCTATTCGTTTTGTCTAAACGTTTGCATGGCCCAGAAGGACGCTTCAGCAATCCCACAAAGTCTATATAGCACGTCCATCTGTCTGTCTATCTGTCTGTTGTAAACATTCTCCCGCCCATTAAAATGGAGCTTGTAGTAAGAGTTGTTTTTTTCCTTTCACAATTCTTTTTCGTTCCGTTGTGGCTAAAACAAGAATCCAATCCTACACCAAAAAAAAGGATTGTGAAGTTCTCGCGCGAGTAAAGTCAACTTTTGGGACGGCAGAAAATGGAACGTTAATGACAGATGATAGAAAGGAAAGGGAGAAGAGATCAAGATGTCGCAAAATGAGAAAAAAGTGTTGAAAAAAATAATTTAACACAAAAAAAAAAAAAAAAAAAAAACGACCAGGAAAATAAAGTTTACATACATCGTCTAATTCTTTTATCGTACATTTTGAATATTCGCAAGTTTTTCGAGTTTTAGTTGGGTGAAGAAGACATGCTTAAAATGACAAAGTTTCTGCAAGCTCCACTTTATTGTCGTTGCAAGCGCCGCCTTATTGCGTAATGGTTTAATAAAAATAATTCCGCGCATATCGTAACAAATTCCTGTAATCAAGAGGCCCTTGCGCAATAAACTCAGATCGATATTGTACTTGAGATAATTTAGAGCAAGAATTGAAAAGCTACGCTTGCATATAAAGTTTATGGATAGCAAATAATTATTTCATCGCATCCTTTGAACATTACTAAGGACATTTTTAATTTGATGATAAATAACTAACGTAAGCAAATAATAGAAAGTCTTTTAATACTGAAGAAAGCCAAAATATTTCAAGTCGGATAAAATTTGTGAATAAAATCCGGGCCGAATTAATGCCTCCTCCAAAACAGCCTGTCTTCACGAGCAAATAAGAAGGGGAGGATTGAATGTTCATTTGTGTAAAAATAAAAATGATGAGCAAATCCCGAAATTTTAACGATTGTGGAAGACTTACTTCACTCTAAGCATCCTCTAGTTGAATTTATGCATATACTTACGGGAATTTTGAGGTGAAAACAGGGAAACGGACAGAAGCAGATTCCGTAGAAGAGAGTTGAACAGTGTTTGCAAAGTGACGCTGTGCGTTCGGTTGAAGGTGTGAAACGAGTAAACAGAAAGAAATTGGCCATGGGTGTTACATTCTTTGTGAGCGTTTATGCTCACAATTAAATTAGTAAGACATTAAATAAGCTATAAATATAAGGAATGAAAAAAATATGTGCATTGATAAGAAAGTAATTTATTGCACAAGAAAGAGAATACATTGAGAAGAAAATTCCTACTTAAGTGACCATGATCGATTTGTATTCTTAAAACCTTGTTACAATATATTATCAAATTATTTGAAAAGCAAAGATCGACAGTTCGTTTGATTTCTTTTGCGGTAACATGCACTTGCAAGGAAAACAATTATTCATAATCACTATCGTAAATTGACAAACGACTCTTACATATCGAATCATTCTTATTGCATCAAATACTATACACATCTACATGTTCACTTTTACACACATTTGCATTCAAATATATATACTCATATTTAGATATACTTACTCATATATATAGACGTAAATCATGAAATCCAATGTTATAGAGTAAGAAAATTAAGTTGTTGTTCGTTTCTTCAGGATCACGTTGACGGGCATAAACGATTCGGTCAAGACCGAATATAATTTTCTCACTTGTTTATTTTTCCTAAAATTCGCACATCCTCTCTCACACTTGCTCTTACTATGTCCTCATCCCAATTTTTCAATTCTTAGATTTCTTTCGACAAGTATCGACTCAATTGAGTTTAAAATCCTTTACACTTAATAATAGAATTACAATAAATAAATGCTCATCAATGCATATAAACATATATATGAATATATACACGCTACACTATATATATATATATATATACGCATACTTAAATATAACAATCCAAAGCACTTATATATTCATATAAAGTTTTATATAACACAAGACAATGTGCGAAAAGTCGTGCGTACATTTGTACATCTTGCACAATAGCAGTTTTGTAAGATTTAGTTTATGTGTTATGTGTGTGTTAAGTGTGTCCGTATATTTAACATGCCATGATGGATGGGTGGGGCATGAAGTGAGTTTAGCTTAAAGCGTTTCAGGTTTCATTTAAAATTTTCCCTTAACAACACTCCGGAGAGCGTTTTAAACGAAAATGAAACAATTCAAAGATTAAAATATTTGATTGCAAATCTTGGCTTTATTTTATAACAATGCTCTAAACGGGGTAAACGAAGAAAACATAAAAAAGATTTAAAGCAAATCTTTAAAAAATAAATAATAGAAAGGAGAGAAAGGAAAACTTAAAAAAAAAAAAAAAACGATTTATTCCACTCAGATAACAAATAAAAGAAGACAATGTCAAAGTGAATCTAAAGCGTTTATCTCTTAAGTTAAGACCTAACTATATATATGTAAAAATGAAGCAATGTTTAGAGAATTTCTATTTGTCGCGGTATTTGTACCAAATATTTGGTCTCGATATATGCTGCGAGTTTATTTGTTTATTACTGATATATTCCGCAGACAAATCTGTTAGATACACTAAAAGAAAAGCAAGTAAAAGTATTGTAGTGGGCCGAGGGCGACCATTATATAGCCTACACTATAATAAATTCGTTCATAAAACGATTTTGTAAACGAAAGCATTATATGAGCAGTTCTTCGGACCCGAACTATTTTCGATAGCGCTCGTCTTTGGGTCAAAACAGGCCAGGCGGCAGGCGGCAGGCGGCAGGCGGACAAACAAGCTTAAATTGATTTAGAAAGTGATTCTGAATAGATCGGTATAATAAAAGGTGGGTCTTTGTTGTTGGATATAATTAGTTAGCAGAATAATAGCTTAAGATGTTAGCTTAAATATGAAGCAAGTATGCCTTCCGAAATAAATTCCCAAGTTTCTTCGGCTTGGTCGAACAAAAAAACAAAAAAATAAGAAAAGTACAGTAGACCCTCCATAGCATGCGTACTTATAAGACGAATTCGTAGAACACGGAGAAAAAATTGTGATCTTTTTTTGTAGAAGAAGCTAAAAGAGTCTCGTACATCAAAGAGTGGGATGGAAAATGCGTATTAATAAATTTTTAATTTATCCCGCTCTTTCTTTCTTTCTCTCTCTCGCTCTCTTCTAAAAAAAAAAAAGTACTATTCAACGGCAGTTAAAATTGTTGCCGTCAAACGGAGGTCTACTGTATATATCCAGAGCAGTATTTCTTTTTCTGATGACACATATTGAATTTTCACAATATTTAGAGGCATACGGTTTCGGAGCTATTTACTGAACGAAGTTATCGCATTCTAGTTTCATCGACTTAAGCAGTTTATCTTTGGCTATTTGCCCGCAAGGACATTTTGCAATTTGCAACGAAGATAAGCTCAGCGACAAGTGATTTAATTCTGGTATTCGTAATCATAGCATCGGATGGTACAGCACCAGTAGTATGAGAGTATATTAAGTTTGTCCGGATGTACGGAGCATCCAGAAGGACTTGAAACAGACCCACTTTTTACTATACCGATCGGCTTAGAATCATTTTCTGAATCCATTTAAGCTTGTCTGTCCGTCCGTCCATCTTGTTTTTTTGTGCTCAATCTATAGGTCGCAATTTTCGACATATTTTGATGAAATGTGGAACACCCATATATTTTGGTCCAAGGACAAACGCTTTTGAAAATTGTTTGGATCTTTACGCTTTCACTTTCTTCCACTTATTCGATGGTTTCCTACATGAATAATTGTATTAGTTAGTATCTTAAGTGTAGTGTATTTATGGGTGGCCCGTGACCCCCGGCCCGCAGGTATAAGCACTTTTTTTTTGGAAGTCGCGCTGAGATGCGCCATCACTTTTTATACAGTCACCGAGACAAATTTGACTTATATAAGGGTCCACCACATATATGGTAACACAGTAGACAAATCCACACGATTTCTGAATAGGGCCCGCCTTCAATCCATATGTGTTAAAATTTCATAAGCGTCTGATAATGTTTTTATAAGTTACAGTGGTTTCAAAGACGTTACTTTTTTTATTTCTAAAACAACGCAAAACTACGAAGCTCGTTTATTATTTACGCGTTGCTTTTTGATGAGACATAATCCCGTTAACAATTAGTGTTGGCTCGAAAGATGTTCCGGTGGTTTTGTTTCATCACACATAAAGAAAGTTAACTGGAAAAGTTATGGGATCCTAAATTTGGTGCGCGTGCATAATAATTTCATAATCGTCGACTGCCTTGAAAGCCGACAAAGGATCAATTGTAAATATTACATAGCATTATAAGTGCGCTTGCATGTGCGCATACCATCGTGCGTTGCCATCACCGTCTTACAATACAGCATTATACAACTAAAGTATGTTCTTAGTAGCGTGTGTGTATGACTCTAAGTTGATATGCTTATGTCCATTTATCTGCTTATTCTTTATTTGTTGGAAAGTTCACGGTCGCATGAGTTAACACTGAAGGCTAGAACTATTGCGATGTGAATATTTTTAGTCGATGACCATCAGACAAGTTTATGCGTGATTTGGCTAAACGGAGAATAAGCAGCCATAGCACACGCAAGGAACGCAAGGAATAATAAAGAGAAAACGGTAACTGCTTTCAAGCTAAAGCATGACACGAATATTTCATTTAAAGACAAAAATACTCCAAATAGTCTAATAGACAGGCCTATTGTTAACAAGACGTTCTGCCGTCCAGCTAAGGTGACAAGGGCATCAAAGGCATACCTTGAGCCAAGTTTGGCTTTCTTTCTTCTTTTCGTTCAATCTATAGTTGCACTGCCTCGTTTTGCATGCCTCGTCTCCCATACTGACTCAATTCCTTGTCATTTTTTCATTTTTCATTTTTCTTTTTTCTCTTTCATCTTAAGTATCTTTGTTATTTTCTGTATCTTAGCCC